CATATGTCCCCATTGTACAAATTGCACACATCACAACCATTCTTTAAGAAACATTCTTCTATACTATAAGGAATAATTAACAAATTTGCAAGACCTTCTCAAGGGAACTTTAAAAGGAAGATCTTATGCTTCCAATATAAATGTAAATACTGCCTTTGCTTTGTTTCTTGGGGTACAAGCCAAATCACATATATGAAAAACACAAACATTTCCTTTGGTATTGGTTTTACTGAGGTAACAATGGTTTTTCTTATAAAATAATTTCAAAGAAGAACAAAGTTAAATAGAATAGATTTTCCCCTAATTGTTAGCTCTAACAAATTTTCTTACTCCTTAGACAATTATATTTTAATAGAATGCTTACCATGTTTACAACTTAGAACCCACTTTATGATTAGTCCCTTTTTATTCCTTTTATTCTAATCTCAGTTTTAGGATTGTTAAACACACATGTACACACACAATCACAAGGATTTTCTAATAGTTCCATTTCTTCCACATGGGGTTAGCAATGTTTTTTAATATTACTCAAAGCAGAAAAAAGGGGCTGTTTTATTTTTCTTTGAACCAAGTTCCTGCCAGATTTTGCACATTGCAGTTCTTTGGCAATGTGATGAGAACACATGCCCACCCACAGACACTAATTTTGCTCTTCACCCTTCCCAAGCAGCCTTTATGACACATGCTGTCTGTGCTCCATTTAATGGAATTCAAGAGTCCCAGTCAAACAGCAGGACAATAGCAGGCAACCCATCTTCTCCACTGGATGGGTTCAAGGAACTCGTGTTTAAAAGAAAATCACAAAAGAAGCCAAACCTAGCCTGGACATCTCCAATCTGAAAAATCTTTACCACTGAATGAATTAACACTGGAAACTAAAAGTCATTTCTTCGGTCAAAATCTGGAAAGAGAGAGCATCTTGCTGCAGTTCCTTGCATACTGCACTCTACGAAGATCAGGCAGCTAACTCCTCATACTACTCTCAAAATGTGCAGCCGAGAAGGTACTGCTCTCACGTCAAGTCAAAGGCTCTTTCTAAGAGGACTGGAGGGCCAGCCTGGTTCTGAAGCACTTGCTTTCTTTGTGGTGATCATTAGGCCTGAGGAAACGTTGGTGATTAAGAATCTAGCAGCAAGCCGGGCTCGGTGGTTCAGCCTGTAATCCCACGCCTTTGGGAGACCGAGGTGAGTGGATTGCTTGAGCCTGCGGGTTCGAGACCCGCCTGGGCAGCGAGACCTCATCTCTACAATAAATCAAAAAATCAGCCGCGCCTGTAATTCCGGCTACTTGGAAGGCTGAGGCGGAAGGATCGCCGGAGCCCAGTGGGTCGAGGCTGCAGTGGCCGGGAGCGGCCACTGCACGCCAGTCTGGGCGACAGAATGAGACTCCAACTCAAAAAAAAAAAAAAAAAAAAGAAAAGAATCTAGCAGCAAATGTGCACGGCTTCCACAACTATGCCACATACACCTCTAGATGATGGGGGCACAGTCAATGCAACAAGCTGTCAGTCAACGTAGACCTGGTAGAATGCTCAGGACTAACGGAAGTCCATGCTGGTTCAGTAAGAGGGTGTTCATTCATCCCATTTATATTTCCTTAACAATGGGTTTATGTCCTTAGAAGGCTGATCCTTGTGTCTCTGGTTTTTCTGAGCAACACAGACAAGTTGCTATTTCTAGATAATGATACAAGATCTGCCTACAGGTGTTATTAATCCCACCCACTGTGTAGGCAGGATGACCATAAACTAGAGTTGTAGGGAGGACAATGTCACAGCAGATGATAGGCAACGGACAGCAGGCAATGGACAGGTCAACCCTCCTGTGGGAGTGATCGTCATGGTCATGCATCCAGAAATCATACATCCGTACAGCAAGAACATACCATAGACTCAGTAAGCAGGCTCCTTCTAAATACAAATATTTTTAAATGTTCGTAGATGATCTATAGAGATTTTAAATAAATCTGTGTTTATAAAATGTTTACTGAATTCATAATAGCTTTGAGTCTTGAGAATACAATTTTAATAGATGCTAAAAATCTTCAAGTCAGCAAAGACTGGGAAAAACTGTCTGTTTCACTAAAACATCTTGGATACTAACCTTTGAGGATTCAAATGTTCTCCCTGACTGCCATTCTCCCCCATGAAACAGAGCAAAAAAATAAAAAATCTTTTATCCAAGTTTGCGCCACTCTATTTGACTCAGAAAACATGGCCACCAAACCCATCAAATGGATTTTTTTGGTAGAGCAGTTCTTTCTTGATTTCCATACAAGAGTTAGGTTCCCAAGAACCAAAAAGGAATAGCTCAAAGTTGCTTATACACATAACAATTAGTGGCCCTGAATCACAGACTCCAATAAAACTATGAATAAAAGAAAACCCAGCCGGGCTCAGTGGTTCAGCCTGTAACCCCGCGCCTTTGGGAGGCTGAGAAGAGTGGACTGCCTGAGCCCACGGGTTCGAGACCCACCTGGGCAGCGAGACCTCATCTCTACAATAAATCAAAAACTCAGCCGGGCGTGGTAGCGCGCGCCTGTAATTCCGGCTACTCGGAAGGCTGAGGCGGAAAGATCACCAGAGCCAGAGTGAGACTCCAACTCAAAAAAAAAAAGAAAACCCAGGGAATAATCTATCCCCCGTAACGACGAATCCCTACTTAGAGCAGGTATTAAAGCAAGGACAGGACTGGGCCCAGATCTCAAGCATTATTTTAATTTAACACTACCTAGCACATTGCTCTGAACATAGGCAGCATCTCACTCAATATCTATTGATTGCTTCCAGGTTGAATGATACTAGACCTTTTGGTACTGGCCGTGGCCCTGTGTTCCTTTTCTCTCAAAAGGGAAAGGAGGCATCTAAAATCCATGCAGTCACCCTGGGCTGATGGCCCATCATGCTTAACAGCAAAGGGCCTCTGAGGAGTGGCAGCCATGCCCCAGGAGTGATTACTACTGCCCAGTCTCAATGGCCAACATAGCCTGTGTGTAATGCAACCAAAGCCAAAAGAAATCTATGCTGTTATGGAAAGACTGTGGACAGGACCTGAGCTAGTCCCAACCACAAAAAAATCACAGGAAAATTAAGACATTTTCACAGAAAACACCAGTAAATCAAGAACTTCAGAATAGGTATTTTTATATCCCTGCCTACAATCATTTTCTCAAGGGGAAAAAAATGGTCTGATGGGACTTAACATTTCAGTGAAATCAGAGGAAATTAACTATTCTGACTTTAAGACAAAACAAAACTAATTTACATTATATTTCTGGTGATTTTGACAAAGTGAACCCTAAGTTGAGTGTGGCATTACCAAAACTATAATAAACCCTGTTTACTATAAGATGGCAAAATAGGGGCTTTAGTTCTAACACTTAAAAAGTAGCTTTTCTTCTACAACTTAAAAATTTTGTTAATAAGAAAGAATAAAAAAAGACCCTCACTTTGAATCCAAAGTATTTTTTAATGTCACCAAATGCTATTATTAAATATGCACTATATATGCATGTATACACATACACATATAAAAATAAGTACTACAGATGTGGGCAGGAAAATTCTTAGCAAAACCCCCACATATTTCAAATACTGTTCTTCCTCATTATTGTCCTCTACCATAATTAGCATGTTACAGCATAACAGGTGGCTTTCATTTATAGAATGCAAAATTAATGAAATTTGGAGATGGTCCTGTCTCCAAAAACAAATTGGCCATTTAAAAAAAAAAAGTGCACCCCTTAATCTACAAAACAAACAAAAACCAACCAAACAAACTCTGTTCACGCTGGCTTTCCAAATTATACGAATTTCTGAATGTAATTAAGGAAGTAAATTGAATGCATTTACCGACAGTTTAAAATTCATATACCTCAAGGAAAACAAGTCATTATTATGGGCTTTACAAGAAAGGAGAAGAGAAACAAAGACTGCCTATTTTTCTGGCTAGGTAATTCCAGATCTATTTAATGCTCTCCAAGTGATAACAGGATTTACCACCATAGACTGGGCTGTCCCACGAATGCCAAATCTTAGGCGAATTTGTGGGCAGTTGTGTTATAGGTCTTGACCTAGCCATTCTGGACAGACAGATCAGGAAAGCATAAATAGTACTGCTATAAACTAACTATAGCATCTGTCCCTAGTAAGCAGGACTTGAAAAATATTTTTTTTAAAAATATGAGGAGACACTGAATAGACTGTCAACACACATAGGAATGTTTAATATACTCAAATAAATAAGATATGTGCTTTAACTGGTCAGGCATTGTTTAAATTTAGTGAGTGGAGAGAGAGGGTCAGACAGGCAGACACAGCATCCCAATTATGCAGAACAATCCCTCGGATCATGTGAAAGCTATAATTAAATGTTGCTACCAAATCCCCACTACCCTTTCTCCCACCTAGAAAAAGTTAAATGCACGAATTCAGTATGAGCAAATTGTGATTTGCAAAAAATAACCATATTCACTCAGTAGGGGAATAAAGCTTTCTTACATTAAGTCACGCATCTTGGGGGTAGGAACAAAGCACAATACTGAAAGAAATCCAACATAATACAATAGTTATCTTTAGAATATCTCCTTCAGCTCACCTCTGCTTATTCTTTTTTTTTTTTCCCCCTAAGTGCTAGGCCACCCACCCAAAAGGTATACCACCTTGGCAAGCTGTTTCCTAGGCAGCATCTTTTAGATTCAGGATTTAATAAAAGGGATGGATTAAAACCATTTCTATCTGAATATCAAATATCTAAGCAGAAATTTGGATTCAGAAAGGGGGATGAGTGGGTAAGAGCACCGTGTCTATCAACCGACTAGTGCTACCTATCTGCCCTTGCACGTGGACATACACACAAATACAAACCCCCCCACACACACTCACTTTGGTTCTTGACAACTAGGATACATTTTCTCCCTTAAAAAATGCTAAAAGCAAGTGCCAGAAAGGTTAAGCAGAAGAGAACAAGGAGATAAAATTCATGTAAACAGTAAGCACATACCTGCCAGGCGATGCCATTTCCTCTACATTGTGGAGACCAAGTGCTGGGTATTAACATTATTGCTACTATAAAGCTTCCGATAAAAATGGATCGTCTCTTGCTGACCTGAGAACCAGCTGGCTGCCTGAGAAGTGGTTTCCCCCATATATGATTCAGTCTCCTTGACAAATATACTGCATTGTACCGGATGAGTCATCCGAGGGTTAGTCCGCATTTTATGGGCCTGTTGTGTCATTACTCACATTCAACATCCTGCTTCTCAAAAGTGGAAACTGGAAGCCTGACAGTTGACAGATGCTTTTTCCAATTAAAATATTGTTTTAAAAAATTCCTGTAAGTTATGATTATCAATCATTGATAGTATGAAAGGCCTCAGAAGCAAATGGCACAGCTCAATACCTGAAATTATGTAGAACCACAAGTGCAAATTCTTCACCCACTCCTATCCCCAAACCAAATTATTTTGTCCAGAGTCAAGAGCAAGGACCCCTCTCTTAAGCTACTAATTGAATTAGTATAGGCATGGACCTTGCTGATTCTTGTGTTGCAGAGTTACCCAGTTGCAGGAGCTATGTAAAAACTACATATCAAATTTTGAGCTCTGGGTTCATTTTGTTAGGTGGGGATAGTGGCATTATGCTTACAAAACGTCTACTTTTCAGAGAGGCAAACTGAAGTATGACAGGGATAAAATGATATATTTTGAGATTTTTTTGTATATTATTTTAGCCCCCAAAATACATAAATAAAAAGGGAGAAGGAGAGGGATAAAGAAATGTGGTAAATTCTTAATAGATCATTGCATCTGTGTGGTGAGTATATGCAAGTTGACTTCATCTTTTCTCTCTTCTTTGGAGTTTCTTTGAAATTTTTCATAATAAAATATTTTTTAAAATTAAAAAAGGCCGGGCAAGGTGGCTCAAGCCTGTAATCCTAGCACTTTGAGAGGGTGAGGCGAGAGGACTGCCTGAGCCCGTGGGTTCGAGGCCAGTCTGGGCAACTTGGCGAGACCTTGTTGCTACAATAAATAAAAAATTAGCCAGGTATGGTAGCATGCGCCTGTAGTTCCAGCTACTTGGAAGGCTGAGGCGGAAGAATCGCCTGAGCTCAGCGGGATCAAGGATGTTGTGTCTGTGAGCGTGCCACTGCACTTCAGCCTAGGTAACAGAGTGAGACTCCAAATAAAAGAATTTTTAAGAATTTTTTTTGGTCCCTATGGTCTAATTTATACCTAAACAAGGCATTTTTCTGGTGAGGTACAAAGAAAGCTACCATGCATGTGAGTGGAGGGTAGCATCCACAAAGTGCAAAAGAGCGACCCTATGGGTGTGGGAGCTGAACTTGAAGTTGTTTCAACCTTTCAGCTGGAAGGTATGATACGCATGTTCCCAAGGCCTGTTCCCAAGGCCACTGTGAGGGCTGCATCAACACCCTGAACGAATGCCTGTTGAACTTCTCCTCCCAAGGTTATCTGGTGACTGTTTTCATTATGCTTTCTTTAGGGACACAAGTTCCAGCTTCGTTCATGAGCTCACTGTTAACAGTATGAAGGAGAGGTGACTATTTCCAGCTTCCTTATAAGGTTCTGGAACTGCTCCATGAGAGGTTATGTAAGTCACATCCACAGTCTTTTACACCAACAAATCCTTTTGTAAGGTGGCACTGTGTTTGTTTGGCTTACTTAATGCTCAAATTGGGTGACTTAAACCATCTGGAGGAGGAAGAGCTTTTGATTTCATAGCTGGAAAAAAAAATCCAGATATGGAAGCACCAATGAAGGTTAAACAAAACCATTGTTGAAACTAGATATCATTTAAAAAACTATCCAGATTGGTGCACTGTGAAAGTATGACAAGTCACTACAGGAAACTTGAAATACACTGAAGGTCACTGAAGCCCAGAGCCTCTGCACTGTCTCTTTAGTTCCGAAACTAAAGGATGGGAGAACGTTTCAGGCCGAGGCTCCCACCTCAGCAAACAGCTGACCCAGCTCAAATGCTCAAAGGACACTGTCTACTAGGACTGCAAACTGGCTGCAAATGGTTGGGACAGTCCCCATCCAACATCAAATTATAACCTCACTAATCCAGACTGATTAGAATTGTGTGTGAGACTGAACTAAAGACGTCCTTGGCTTTGACAATTCTTTCCTCATAAGGACTGCAAGCTACAGGCTTATCAAAATGTTCCCCCCGCAAGGTTTTATAACCTTTCACACACTTAAAAAGCACAATTTACCTTAATGCAACAGGTGGAAATGGGATAAATGAATAAATGACTAATTTGAGTTCTATAAGAAATAAAAGAAATTTTGTCAAGAAACAAATTCAAAGTTCATTAAAGAATTTTATAATTCAGATTAATGAAAAATACAGGCCGGGCATGGTGGCTGAAACCTGTAATTCCAACACTTTGGGAGACTGAGGGGACTGCCTGAGCCCATGGGTTCAAGGACAGCCTGGGCAACTTGGTGAGACCTCATCTCTACAATAAATCAAAAAATTAGCAAGGTATGGTAACATGCGCCTGTAGTTCCGGTTACTTGGAAGACTGAGGAGGAAGGAATGCCTGAGCCTAGCAGGTCAACGCTGGGATGGCCGTGAGCGTGCCACTATACTCTAGCCTGGACAACACAGTGAGACTCCAACTCAAAAAAAAAAAGAAAAATAATAACAATCATAACACACGGAAAGATTAAGAATAAAGCAAATATGGTAGCATGTTTAACAAATAGGGAATTAGGTATAGTCTTTCTTATTATTCTTACAACTTTACTGTAGGCATGAAATATTTCAAAATAAAGTTAAACATTCACAAACACAAGAAGGAACATACTTATCCCGTTTTTTAAAAGAAGATTTTTATGGATTTAATAATCACCACAGTAGCTGCTACTGACATGCCTGCCCATTTATTTATTTTATTTTTATTTTATTTTATTTTTTTTGAGTTGGAGTCTCACTCTGTCATCCAGACTGGAGTGCAGTGGCTGCTCCCGGCCACCACAGCCTCGACCTTCTGGGCTCCGGTGATCCTTCCGCCTCAGCCTTCCAAGTAGCTGGGACTACAGGCGCATGTTACCACGCCCAGCTAATTTTTTTTGATTTATTGTAGAGATGAGGTATCGCCAAGTTGCCCAGGCGGGTCTCAAACCTGCGGGCTCAGGCGATCCACTCACCTTGGCCTCCCAAAGGCACGAGATTACAGGCTGAGCCTGAGCCACCGAGCCCACCCATTTAAAAAATCTTGGACCATAAATAAATTCACCAAAATGTTGACACTGGGAAATGCCTCTGGGTTTGAGATTCTCAAAGGGTGTTCCTTGCAAACAATCTTCTAAGAGGATACACACACACACACCCCAAATATACATTTTGGGAAAATATACTATATCCTCAAGAATCCCATTCAAGTTTGTTTAGTCTTGCATTTCCCAAATTTATTTGACCGTAGAGCCCCCACCCCCTCATGCTAATGACACTACTAGTCAGAAAACAACCTGAATTATGCAATTATCCAGTCTCCCTTCACCATACCAGAGGGGCCTATGCCACCATCAGTGGCAGTGAGAAAGCCTGCACTTGTGTGCAATGGGTTGGCAGCTCATGCCAGTGTTGGGCCAGGGCGAGGCCATCCCAAGGAGCAGCAGCTTGCTTCAGGCCTGGCTTCAGCAAAGCACGAGGTCTAGAAACTGGAAACCAGTCTGGATGTCTTTTGCCTCTCAGCTCCCCAGGTTACATACTCATTTCCTAGCACTGATCCTTGGCAGATAAGAAGCAAAATGAGCCAGGGGAAGACAGCAGAATATGGCTCCTGATTTCTTAAAACTTTCCAGTGGACTCTTATTTTTTGAATTTTTGCCATGGTATTAACTTACAAGGGTTTTAAGAATTATTTGGTTTTTTGTTTTTCTTTTTATTTGCTAAAGTCCAAATACTGGCTAATGTCAAATTCTAAAATCAAGTGTGGATATCAGCAATGCAGCCACTGTAGGCTGTACTGTGTAGTGGTATAAAGCATTAGCTTGAAGTCAAACTGTCTTGGTTTGAAAATCCAGTCTTGCCCACATTTATATTACATAACTCCTCTAAGCCTCTGTTTCTTTATCTGTAAGATGGGCATAATATAATTAATAACCTCACAGAATTGTTTTATGAATTTAGACTCTCAGGGGTGAACAAATTATGGTCAGCCACCACATCTGCCTACATATTGTCTATAGCTGCTTGAGAGCCACTACGACAGAGTTGAACAGTTGTGACAGAAACCTTATGATCCCCAAAGCTGAAAATATTTACTATCTAGACCTTTACAGAAAAAGCTTGCTGACCCTTGGTAATCAACATTTGATGAATAAATAACCAGGTCTTTTCCCTGCAGAAGTTTTGGTCATCGGTCCTTTTTTTCTGCTTAATGTCCCAAATAAAATCAGGTACACAGTGTTATTTATGGTGATCTGGTCCACATGAACTGTAGCTCACACTTGCTTACTATGCAAAACACAAATCTCCGTCTCATGGCAGAAGGGGAATCTACGGAGCCTGAGGTTGCCTGTTGGTCTTTCCCCCCATTCTCTCCTCCCTGACTTGCCCACTCAAAGAGGACCTCCCCTATTTCAGAGTCCAGTGACCCCAGTTGAAATGAGTCCACAGCCATGCCTCCCCTCCCCCACATCACATCTGTGCATTATGTAGAAACCACATGTATCCCCAGAGGCTGAAGCAAGAGGTGAAAGATGATCTGGAAAAGGCATTCAAGAAACTGAGCAAACAGAAACGAAGGATGCTTTCAAGAGGGCTGGACAGCCACATGCAGGATTAATAAAGCTGCGAGCGACTTTCAGAAATTAGGGCTGTAGTAACACCATCACCACTGGTAAGACTGAAGGCCAACCCAGAAAAACGAGGAACATGCCTCAAAGTTGAGTCCTGAGACGTGTCCCTGCATCTAGTCATACTGCATATTTTCTTTGGCCGGAAAGCGTGTTTATTTGGGGAAAATGAATCCACAGCATTAATGGATAATGCAGGTGAAGGGACTCCTGGGACTGGTCTCTGGGAGGGGAAATCTGAACAAAAGAAACCATTCTAACTGCCTTCAGTTATGTTCTTTAGTTTTTTTGGGGGAAAAAAAAGTCTTAGCCAGCTGTTTGGATGGATTAAATCTGGGATGTACTTAGATACACCCAGTGTCTTTCTGGTAGTTATTTGTTGCCTTAT